TTGAACAGTCTGACTAGTGTGGAGGGCACAGCAACCTCAAACTGACGAAGTCGAAATTTCATGTCAATCATGTTTGGTCACGGGGAGTTGCATCGTGTCCTGTTCACCTAAGTTGATGAGTAGTAATCTGTTCTTAGCGGAACAAACGAATTTGCTGCAAAAAAGGTCTAGCAGGTGGAATAGATGACCCGGAGCAAGGGCCCTGGGATAGCTTTTTGGGTGACACCTTTTGGAATGCGTCAGGAATTCCGCGTTTTACGATTTTCCAACGGTTTAGAACGACCCCAACAAAGTAGAACTATGATGCATGAGCAAATTTCGCCGGAGTTTTGCTCAAGCATTTATTTTTCATGTGTTTTTTTTTTTTTCATGTGCAAATGAAAAATGCATTGTAACGGAGCCATGTCCATTCTTTTGTGCGTGTACTTGTCCAGAATAACTCATCTTGGCAGTTCATCCTTGCACGCTCAAAATTTAGATCTTTGGTCACTAGCACATCATAATGCTCCGCATAAAATCAGTTGTCAAAATTCGCTACGTTTCTAATTACTATCTTAGAATTGAAGCCAGTCCGTTGCGGCAGCTCAGTTCGTAAAGGTGCATAAAATTAGTTTCAAACTCCTTTTCATTTACCCAAAATTTAGATTTTGTCCTTCACACTTCACTAAGTAGCAGATTTACAATCGGATGCGTCTTGACAGTACCCTAATTAAAATGGTCAAGGTCTAGTGAAGAGTTAACTTTAACGATGACCATTGACTAGTACAGATATCTGTGTACTAGTGTATTTACTCCACAGTATGTCCACCAGAAATAAACTCGAAAATCGTATATTCGCCGAGCCAGTCCTTTGAAACGCGCTGCTTTCTTTGTTAGCTTTTTTTTGGTTTTAGCAACTGAAAATTAGTGAATGAAACGAAAAGCTTGGGGTCTCTGCTTACGCTTCAATTTTGCTCGTAAATGGCAATGAGCATGGCGCATGGGGTGCTTGCAGATGGCATGGGACGGCGACATTCTTATAATAATATGGAAGAATCGACAGAATTTGAAGAACTAAATGCAGACGATGCTGCTGAAGAAAGCGGTGATGGCATGGGGGCAGAAGATAACACACCGCGAGCTGGCGATTCGCTGGAATCCTCGGAGGAACCATCTGCCCGGCAGTTTCGCGCCACTGCTGGTTTGTAGTCATTTCACTTTAGGATGAAATTGATTTCACCTGTATGGAGGACTTTT